TATATGAAAAAAATGTGGCATCAAGATTGCAGGAAAACTTACTAACAACCTGTGATATGTAGATGATTCAACCTTGCTTGCTGAAAGTGAAGAGGACTTAAAAATATTTACTGATGAAGATCAAAGAGCACAGCCTTCAGTATGGATTGCATCTCAATACAAAGAAAACAAAAATCCTCACCACTGGACCAATAAACAACATTCCTATCAATGGAGAAAAGATTGAAGTTGTCAAGGACTACATTCTTCTTGGATCAACCATCAACACTCATGGAAGCAGCAGTCAAGAAATAAAACGATGTATTGCATTAGGCAAATTTGCTGCACAAGACCTTTTAAAGTGTTAGAGTAAAGATGACAGCTTGAAGACTAATGTGCGCCTGATCCAAGCCATGGTATTTTTAATAACCTCATATACATGCAAAAGCTGGACAGTGAATAAGGAAGACTGTGAAGGAATTGATGCGTTTGAGTTATAGTGTTGAAGGAGAATATTGAAAGTACCATGGGCTGCCAAAAGAACCAACAGATCTGTGGTTAAAAAGTACCCCCAGAGTGCTCCTTGAAGGCCAGGAGGGCCAAACTTCATCTCTCATACTTCGGACATATATTGTCAGGAGGGACTAGTCGTTGTAGAAGGATATCATGTTTGGTAAGGTGGAGGGTCAAAGGAAAAAAGGAATGCCCCATGTGAGATGGATTGGCAAAGTGGCAGCATCAGTGGGCTCAAGCATGGCAACAATTGTGAGGCTAGCCCAGGACTGGCAGTGTTTCGTTCTGTTGTATATAGGGTCACAATGAGTCAGTACTGACTTGAAGGCACCTAACAACAAGAAGTTTGTCCCTATTTTTTTCATTGATGATCTTTATAGTTCTAGGTTTTACATTTAGGCCTTTAATCCTTTTTGTATATGGTATGAGATAGGGTTTTTGTTTTCATTCTTTTTCAAACTGATTTCCAGTTTTGACAGTAACATTTGTTGAAGGACACTGTCTTTTCCCCATTTAATGTATTTTGACCCTTTATCAAAGATCAGTTATGTATGTGGACAGATTTTCTTCTGGATTCTCAGTTTTA